AATAGTTATATATAGTTCATTATTATAAATTCTACATATCCGTGATATAAATGCCTACGACTAGTACAGAATTACTTGGCTCCAGTTCAAGGTTGTCTACTGATATTTGCCCGGAGCATTTCTTCCATTTTGTTTTGGAGGGGAAAAACAAAAAGAAAAAAAAACATATATATATATATATTGTATATAATATACAATAATAAAATTATAATAATGTGTAAATAGTCACTCCTTTTAATCAGCTGTATGGATTAAATTGTTGAAAATATTGGAATCAAAACTGCTGAGAGTTCATTCATTTAGTAAGTTTCAGTCATTTAAGATTAAAACACATTTAACAATACTTAATCATTAGGTTATAGAAAGATATCTAAATCACTTTCATAAATCTTTATTAATTTTATTAGACTTACTTAATATAAGAAATAAGTAAGATGGATGTTTCAGTTTTATATAAAAAGTGCTATATTCTTAAACATCCTTTATTCTGACAGTAATGTTTTTTATAATTTAATGTTATTTTTTAAATAATTTTTGGCTAGAACTTTGGCAATCTTGGCCTGCCTAGGCCCTTGTGCCACAAACTCCAGCTCCAACCCATAAATAATTTCTATGAACTTTTTAAATTAAATACACAAATTAAAAATTCATTTAAATAAAATGTTTTTATTGAAAGCCATTTGACTCTTTATTTGTAATTTAGATTAACACATTAAAAATAATTGGACATGATGATATAATTCAAGAATGTTTAATGACTATTTTTTCCAGATATACAATTCTACAATGGCAGCTACTTCAAGTATGCCAGCAGACAACACAATTTATCCAAATTATTTTGCTTATTCATGTCAAGGACTAAATGAGGGAGCATGGAATAACAGTGGTGATGCATTTACCTATTTAGGAGGACAAATAGGAAGAGATCCTCATTATTTAGATGGATTAGTTACTCCCTCAAGTTATAATAATTATCCTGGATTTGCTTATTTTTCTACAGGAAGTGATTATTCAGCAGCCTGGGGTAGTTCTATTGCACCCAGAAAACCAAATGCACAAGGTGATATTCATGAAGACTATTTTGCTCGTAGTATATATAATTCACCACCATATCCAACACCAATGAAACATATAGAACATCGGATGGAAGGTTTATCTTTACAGACTCCTCAGAATAATCATTATTTTCTTAAAGATAATTATGGGAAAGCAGATTTAATGACAATAACTGATAATCACATTAATAATCATTTTGGGAAAAAAGCTGGTAATTTTCCATTAAATTCTGGATTCTCTTTAAATGAACAATTTATTATACCAAAAAAGATATCTTTGGAATCTGTTGCAAAAAAGCCTGTTAAATTACAAACAAAATCAAAATCAAAATCTGCAACCCACACATCAGTATTATCTGCTAAACATAATTCTGCCAGTATGGACATTGGTACCTGGGAGAATAAGAATGGAAGTAATGAAGGAAATACTACAGGATCAGCAGACAAAGTAGAATTATCCACATGTACAACTAAAGTTCATTCTAGTCCTTGGAATTCACCTAGAGGAAATAAACATAAACATTTTGACTTACCACAGTCGAATGTTGAAAACAGTGGACATTCAAAACCTGTTTTAGATAAACTTCAGAATGAAAATAACTACAATCCTAAAGAATTTGATCTTAATCCTAAAAATGCACGATTCTTTATTATTAAATCTTATTCTGAAGATGATATACATCGTTCAATTAAGTATTCTATTTGGTGTTCTACAGAACATGGAAATAAACGTTTGGATAATGCTTTTCGTGAAAATGCAGGAAAAGGACCAATATATTTGTTTTATAGTGTTAATGGATCAGGACATTTTTGTGGAATGGCTGAAATGACATCACCTGTTGATTATAATTCAAACTCTAATATATGGGCACAAGATAAATGGAAAGGACAATTTGAAGTCAAATGGATTTATGTGAAAGATGTTCCTAATTCACATCTACGCCATATTCGTTTAGAAAATAATGACAATAAACCTGTGACTAATTCACGTGACACACAAGAAGTACCTCCAGATAAAGGAAAGCAGGTATTAAAAGTTATTCATTCATATAATTCATTGACTTCTATCTTTGATGATTTCAATCATTATGAAAAAAGACAACAAGAGGATGAAAAAAGAAAGGTACAGTGATTTTTCTTTTAACATTAGATAAACATAATATATTTTTATTTTAAATGTTATCTATACTAATATTATAAAGAGGTAATGTTTGTAAGTATGTAAGTTTGTTTGCAGCAGGTAATTTCCGAAACTACTCATCTGATTTCAAAAATTCTTTCACCAATATTTATAATGGAACCTCGGGGTGGACATAGGCTGTATATTATTCCGTTAAACATTCATATAAATTAAAATATATAATCTAGGTTAAGGCTTTTATGTCCAACAGATGGCGCTACGAGTACGACGCCTTAAGTTTGCTTTTCTGTGAGGCATTATGCTTTTCTGTGAAAATAAACTAAAGCGGATCATCTTCTATCTATCTATATAAATAAAAATGTAATGTTCGTTTGTTCCTACCGATTCCTTTGAAATTTTGACACAACGCTGCATTCGAATACGCACGTGTTTTCATATAATATACGTGTCAAAATTCCCCCTCCCTGAAGGGAGATGGTAAGGATTAAGGCTTACCGTAAAGAACTCTGCTTCTATTTATACTATTTCAGATGCGGTTTTTTGCGTTTAAATAGGGTACATCAACAGAATATACACTAAGAAGAAATTTTTTGAAAAATTTCTCCCCCACGGGGAAGTGTTATAAATTTATAATAGATACATTTTGAGCCACAACAACGCGTGGCGGGTCTGCTAGTTTATCTAGAAATTTAGTAATATCCATTACCAAGTATATCTGAAACTTATACAAATACTAGTACAGTGGAACCCCGGTTAACGAACGTCCTGGTTAACGACCAAATCGGTTAATGAACTATTATTTTGCAAAAATTTTGTCTTGGATAACGAACTTAACGGCTTTTTGCGTCAAATTTGTAAGCTTGCCGACTTTTAGAGAAAATCAGTTAATCATGTGTCGGTGATGGTCTAGGGTCCATTCGTACTTTGGTGATGGCGGAGGAGACAAAGATGACAAGTATTTTATAGTGAAAATCGTTTATTAGAACGGGAAAATGCTTACATATTTGAGGTAGTTGGAAGTGGCTTATCTATAGTATTTTCTCTCGGCACTGAGGAGTGGCGTATCGCTGGTCCTACGATAGTGCAAGCTGATCAGTCGTAGCCCCAGAGCGGACGAGATGGGTTCGCTTGGTCACAGAAGCGACGGTAGGTGACAGAGCCACAAGACTGGAGCGGTCCACGAGACACAACACAAATTTTAGCGGGAACAACTTCAGGCTTAATCCAGACGAAGACGACACAGATTAATTGCCATAGAATTTTTAGGAAAACTGCGTTTTGACCTTGATATTCGGGGTTTTTATAGTATTTCTTCCTTGAATCTCACCTTACGATTAGTCCTGCATCCCATTCCTCGCTTCCCGATTGTTTTCTTCTTTGTCTCCAGGTGAAAACCGAAACCAGATCAGGTCACGAGAAAGGTTTGTTCCGAGGCATTTATTTGACACCTATTCGTCGACTCTGATTGGAGATTGTTGATAAACCTATAAGCCTTTCGCTCATAATTTAGCCTATTGTGTTTGCTATCTGTCATTTTAGAACTTTAACGATCGTATGTGATGTTTTTTATACCCGTCAAATCTTTCCTTTTTTCCGAAAATTTAACGTAGATCGACTGTTTATGAGCACGTTTTCCTATATTTTCATTAAAGAAAACGCATTTTACAAATAAAATTACAAAAATACTGACGACTAGAACGAATTAATTGTATTTGCATTAATTTCTATGGGAAAAATTGCTTCGGTTAACGAACGGACTCGTGGAACAGATTATGTTCGTTAACCGGGGTTCCACTGTATATCCTTGATATCTCTATTAAATAGATGTGGCAACAAATAATTTGAACTGGCGAAAAAAAATTTTTAACTGGCAAAATTGTTGGCAATTTTTTTTTTAAATTTTCCATAGCAATTTCTGATTATGTATATTTAAAAGTTTCAATAAGTAATAATTAAGTATTTAAAATTTAAAAATAACATTAATAGCAAATTTACTGGGCAGAAAAGATGCATGTCATTCTTTTATGGAATTCTTCCAGTTTATAGTTAAAATATTCAATTAATGCACTTTTTTCCTTGACACATTTAAAATTTAAGGCTGATTATGTTGCATATTTTTATACAAATAATGTTTTATGTGACAGCTTTAAACACACACAAATCAGAAATAATACAGGATTCAAAAAGAAATTGACACTTTCTAATATTTTTTCCTCTTATTTTAATTAATATATGTTAGTGTGAGATGTATGTACTGATAGGGCAACTCAGAGTTCTTTCGAACAGTCTACACTGCCTATACAGTAGTTCTTTTTCATGACACTAGATGGCTAGTGGTAGAAATATTGCTGCCTCCCAGATGAAGAAAGCATTTTTTATGAACAGTCTATAACTACAATGTGTTCCATCATTTGAGCCCAGTTCAAAGACACTGTCCAACAGACAAACTATGAATGGATGAAGAAATTCCAGCAGATTGGATGTGTCTTTGCAAAGATAAGAGATAAGGAGGACCGGTAACATCAGTGGAACAGGTGGAACGAATTCAAGGAGCATTTAAATGCAGTTTCCAGCATATTGAGATTCCACATCCTTGATATTCCACAACCCATGTTGCAAGGTGTTTAGGCAACATCATTGTTTGAAGCCATCATAGATAATGACAACTTATTGCAGACAGTTTTCCATTAACATGCAAAATCTGATGGATGATGGAAGATGATGCATATTCTGCTTGATTAATCTTAAGTGATAAAGTCAATTTTCATTTGAATGGCAAAGAGAAATGTCACAATGTGCAGATCTGGGAAATAAATCTTCATCAGTGTGTTGAGCACATCTGTGATTCACCAATAATTAATATGTTCTGTGCCTTGTCAAAGAAAAAGTTTATGGACTGTTTTTTTCTGGACTCGTTAATCATTGGACATTTCTGTCTGGACATGCTCCAGATTTGGTTCATGTCTCAAATCTAAGATGTGACAATCTCATATATCAACAAGATGGTGCACCACCACACTTACAATGATGTTTGTGATTGCCTGGATACCAAACTCCTATAATGATAAATCAGATGCATAGTTGCTCGAAACATTACTGTGATGGTCAACACAAATACCAGATTTAACCCCCAGCTATTTCTTTTTCTGAAGGTTTGTAAAGGATATAGTATATTAGCCTCCACTACTCAGGAACATGACTGAACTTAAAAGAATGAATTACAGAAGCTGTAGCTAAAATCTATAAATATATGCTAGAGTATGAGAGAAATTGGACTACAGGCTACATATCTGCTGTGTGACTAGAGATAAAATGCAAAACACCTGTGACTGTGTCAAAAACTTCCACAGTTTTCCTTTCTTTATATTTGTGCCATTATGTATTCTATTCAATAGAAGATGAATTTTTCTTTAGTGTTAATTTCTTTTTGAATCATTCTGTATATCTGCCCATCTACATATAATAATTTCATTGCGCTATTTGTCTTGAAATTCATTCAAATTGTTGTGATGCCTTTTCATTGACAATAATGTGAATTTCATTGAATCCATCTTATCTTCTAACTGTTAAATGAACATTATAATTGTTGGCTACTTGCCAAAAATTATTGGCAGTGACTTAATGAAATTTTTATTATATAAACAACTATAATCTTGTTTACTCAGTTAATAGCAGGCAACTTAACATACACAAATTCCTCAATATTGTCAGGGCTGACTTTACAATATCAAACTTTAATTGAAACTGTTGTTAATTCAATTTCTGAATTTGAAGTTTTGTTACATACATAGATAATAATGTACTATTTAGATGAAAGAAACTACATATTTTTTTCTATTACACATCATCTATATGCTATTAAAAGTCTGAGTTTGTTTGGTTATAATTAAATATAGAAAAAATAGTGCAAAATACTGCCACATTTTTAAGAATCCTATATCCTAAATCAGAATAGAAGTAAAATAAAACAAGTTTTGTTAAATTCATGGGACAGATTACTGAGCTAGCTTTGTTTTTTCTGGTGATGTTGTCATTCTGTATGATGTAACTTTTTAAAGTATCAATTACGTTCTTTTTAAATTTACATCACTCCACTAATGGAATGTTCCTGTAGAATGTTTTTTAATTTCATGTTTGAAAACCTGCACAAGCATGTGTGTTAAATTTGTCACTTTTCTGATGGAGCATTCTTGTAGTTTGGTTTTAATTTCATGTTGGAAAATATATATGGGAATGTTCAATTTAAATATTTGTCATTCCACCAATAGAATGTTCCCATAGATCACTTTTTACTTTTAATTTACTCTGTATATGTTGGGTTAGATGAAATGACTACTACCCAATGAAGGTCCCTAAATGAGGTTGAAAATATTTGATTAGTAAATCAAGTGCTGGATTAGGTGCTGAGGTTTGTGTATGAGCTACAGACAGATAATGTGAGTTGTATTTATTTAAAATTTATTATTTATAAAATAGAATGGTCTGTCCTTTATACAGTTCTAAACCCTTTGATCAGTTTACACCATATCTTATCAATGTTCCTTTGTCCAAGTCTGATGTTTATTTCATGGAGAAATGTATGAAACAAACTAGGCAGGAGCATTACACACCTATGAAATGCTACTATTACCTATTATTGTATCTTCTGTTTATAAATTTTAAGTAGTAAGTAAGGCTTATCACTAAATACCAAACTCTGATATTTGATTTTGCTACTCTTTAAGTCATGAATATCACTATTGTCAATTATAAGAAAATTTTTTTTTCAAACTTTTAGTGCACTTTTAAGATTTTCATTTGATTTTCCCTTGTATTTACCTGTATATTGTCATTGTATTTATAGTTTTATAAACATTTAACAAAACTTAATAAATTGACTATTTAAAAAAATTTTTCCTTACATAAGAAAAAAGCATTAAAATCAATTTCAAACTCATGGTGTGTCTTAGAATTGATGATGTCTTCTTTTAATTTAGGATTGG